CCAAATCTCCTCACCTCCAAATCAAATTTCTTCCAACACTTCTTCTCTTAACAAGGCTTTTTTCAAGGTATGGAATTCGAAACAGAGAAATGTTGCGACATCATGTACGTCATCGGTATTGCTCCACCACCTTACAATGTGAGCATAAATTCACTAAATATTCAAAAATACGCAATTTTTCACATCTTATGGAAGGAGTTAAAACACAACGATTCACTGTAGACATATGAAATCAAACATTATCAGTTGATAAGTAGTCATCATTGTTGTGATCTGTTTTTACCTTTTGCATATCAATTAGTTAATCTCTGCTTCTTTTTTTACAACATCTTGAGCATCGCGCTTACATTTCATTTCAGTATCGTTTCATCTGTAAGGATCGAATGCTTGCTTAGGGCTATTTGGTTGCTCCTCTCTTACAATCAAAAAAAATATCATGACTTTAGTCGAGTTAATTAAATAACAGTATCCTTAGAGGAAGTGCAAAGCAAAGGAATTGAATAAATGCAGGCAATATTAGATCTATTGAACTACAATGACTGCAGTTTTGTCATATATTTTATGGCTGCAGTTCAAAGCAAAAATCGCGCTTCTTGAACACATCCTGCTTTCAGCTGTATAACTACCAAGGTTACATGCAGCGTACGTTCCAATTTGCAAGCGAAAATGATGTCATTATGAATTTTACATCGGACGGCGTTGTTCAAGGTGTTGGATTCAATGGTACCGTATATAACATCGGTGAGTTTGATGCATTTTGCTCAAAAATGTCCCAATCGATATTCTGCAAAAAATCTTTTTAAAAAATGCGAGATCACATTAAGACTGTGCTTGCAATTCTGGTACCAGCCAACTGCACCAAAACAACACGTTGCTTCAAATAAACTCCCCTGGACTCCTTTCTGGTGCTCCCACCTATTGCCCAAATCTCAACTGTTCGTGGACTGTCCAATTTCCAAATGACTACGAGGTCGTTCTCAACGTATCTATGGTCCAACTTCGGGCAGTTTCACAGTTCGATCAGCTTGCCGTAAAGGATAATTTTGGAAGGACAATTTTAACGTAGGTAATCAATTTCAATATGATCGTTATTAACCGAACTTTCTTCAAGGACAAATTCCACGATATACTATGGTCAACGGAAGTTCGTTTTTACATCTGGGCAATTTCTCGTCAACTTCCTTTCTTCACCAATTACTTTCTTCCCACCTCAAAACGCTCAGCCAGGTTTTCTCCTCGACATGATGCTTGTCAAAAGTACTAAGTGTTAAACGCTTTAATCTTAATTTCAAGGAAGCTATCAGTTTCTTTTGAGAGACAATACGAAGAACTAGCATCAGATTCTCGGACGAGTACTTTATGGCAGATATCTCAACCAGGGATTTTGCCGGGGGAATAAACGCTACCTATGAATATCTAATCACTGCAAGGCCAGGAAGACAGGTGCATAGGCTCTTTGGAACTACGGTTTAGATTTGAAGTTATTTTAGAACAAAGACTAACTTCTGTTTTTTTTTCAAGTTTAGGTTAATGTCCATTTTTTCACTCCCTTGTATGGCATCGTTATTATACAGATCTACGATGGCACCGATACAGCTTCAAAGATGATAGACACTAGGTACTCAGATCTCCCTTTGCTGAAGTTATATTCAGACTTTGAATTAAATCAAACCAATTTTTTAGTTTTCTCTTTGATAATGACACAGTTGTGGATGGTATTCCTTTGTCGGTGAGCTCAACTGGACAAAGCCTTTTGATTCAAATTAGACCCAACTTGTACAACAACAACGACAAGCTAGATTTTCAGGCAATGACTACAGACTGGGTTCAAGGTGAGTGAGCAGTAAGTTCTTATATCTCGTCCATAAGCGTATCGATCCAACAACAATCATCACCCAGAATCAGGGAATAAAGCAGGAATGTGTTAATGATAGAATTTGTTCTGAAGGTCCCTAAAAAATTTTTTACAAATTTAATCGAAGGGAATCCAAATCTTGTAAGTTCCTATAAGATTTTTACAGCCTGTTTTGAAGGATATTAAAAAACCACATCTAAGATGCAGCAGGCTCAAGTTCTTTCCTTCAATGGAAATTCCAAACGCGTTTTTATTGCAACTGATGAT